ACTGCTCCCCTGTTTTTGTTACAAAATTTCTACCTTTACAATTGTGACAGTCCCAATTAGTCATGGTAACAATTATTCACTATTGAATCACACGTATTTTATCCCCATCTCTTTTCACCAGACCCATCTAGACAAGATGAAAACCATTCAGTCCCACCTATCTTTTGTGAGCTATTTCATCAATGGTTTTATGTTTTGTTTTGCATTTTCATTTTATTTAAAAAGAAATATGTGACACCTATCATATGCTAACCACTGTTCTAAGTACCTGGAGAATGCTCATATCATTCTCTTAACTCTATAAAGTAAAAACCATGGTTTCGCTTCATTGTTAAGAGGAGGCAATCAAGTCACAGAGACCTTAAATAACGTATCCAAGGTCACAAAATAAGTGAGTTCTGGAATAAGGAAGTGAAATCATCCATTTTGGCTCGAGAAGTAGTAACTAGTCACTGTTCTTCTGGACAGCTTCAGAGATGTGCCCTCAAGGGAAAAAAACTTCGGGCGTGGGAAGAATGTCACTGACATGGCTGTGAACTAACAAAAAACTGGCCAATACACTATAAGCATGCACAAATAGAAAATGAATAACCTGTTGCGTACTTACTACAAACATTTTGTAATCTACTTCATTCACTTAAACGAATAAGCTTCCACAATTCTAGAAATGGGTACTGTAAAATAGTTCCCTTTTTTAAAAGTGTTTCCACATTGTGGCATTTTGAAATTTCACTGAAATGTTATTGCCAGTTTTCAAATTATGAAATTATCTTGTACAGCATTTCCTATGATTAAAGTGAAACTATTCCAAAGCTTCAGGGAGGTTGATACTTAATTAGCCTGGATAAAACCCTCTACTTAATTCTTATTGTTTAAAATTGCTTGTTCTTTATTTTATACATTCAAGCAAACAATAAGATATGCTTACATTATATCACTGAAATCCAGAATCCCTATTTCCGGGAATCCATTTGAGTCGAATGCAGATTTCTTCTGTGCTAACATTCTATAAAACTCATTGACATCCAGTCAATTGTGACTCACAGTAAGATAGAATGCAAAGATTTCTTTGATGTACAGAAATACAATGCCTGGTATAAGACAGAGGAGAACTGTCGCAAAGAGTTTCCAAGGCTGTAAATCCTTACAGAAGCGACTGCCACATTTTCTCCCTAACACAATTTTGGTTGTGTAAAACCAACCAAAATCAATGGACAATCTACCACATATTTAAAAACATTCAAGGAGATACAGAATTTTAATTCTCAGAATTTCAAGTCAAATTAAACCATAAAATTCTTCTTCCATATTGTTGGTTTTTATTAACTCTCAATCAAACCAACCACAGTTTGTTTGATCTAACACTATGTTAAAGCTTGAGGGCAAGGAATATGAAGTGAAACTTGCATTGGAAACTCCACATCCCCTATATAATTTCCACATGTCTGCTTTTCATTTTACCTGCCTGATGAGGTAGCATTTCTTCTCTTATGTGAAAGCAGGAAATACACCTTTCCCAACTTGAAGTGACCTAATGGAAAAATTTTATAGACTTTGGCCCAAGGTTCACTAATAAAATTACTGAAGCCTTCTGTACTTTGAATACAACATTAAATGTAGATTGAGTAAGTATGGTGAAAGAATTCAATCATGGTGCACACCTTTCCTAATTTGAAACCATTCAGTATTCCCTTATTCTGTTCAACAGCTGTATCTTGGTCTATGTACAGGTTTCTCATGAGCACAATTAAATGTTCTGAAATATTTATTCTCCACAATGTTGACCATGATATCCCTCATTCCACATCCTCTTCTGAATCCAGCTCTGTCAATACATGGTTGCAGCTGTTTTTGTATGATTATCTCTAGCAAAAATAACTATATAGCCAACACTCGTGGTGGTGGTTGTGATGTGCCGTGGAGTTGGTTCCACCTCATAGCGACCCTGAACATGGTTTCTGAGGCTGTAAATCTTTACGGGAGCAGAAAGCCTCATCTTTCTCCCGCAGTACAGCTGGTAGTTTCAAACTGCTGACCCTGAGGTTAGCAGCTCAATTCATAACCACTATGCTACCAGAGCTCCTGGCCAACACTAATAGTGGTTACAAATCGGGGTACGAGTCTCATAGTCAGCAGTTCGAAACTACCAGCTGTTTCTGCTCCCATAAAGATTTACAGCCTCAGAAACCCTATGCAGGGTCGCTATGAATTGGAGCCAACTCCACGGCACATAACAACAACAATTCTAAACTCATTCCAGTTGGATTAAGGGATTATCATTACTGATGTCAGATGGCTCTTAGATAAAAGCAGAGAATATCACCAGAAAGATGTTTGTGTTTTATTGAGTAATGCAAAGGTATTTAACTGGGTATCCATAACAAATCATGGATAACAATATGAATAATGGAAATTCCAGAACATTTCATTGTGCTCATGAAAAACTATATATAGACAAGGAAGCAGTTGTTCTAAGAGGATACTGAATTGCTTAAAATCAGGAAAGGTGTATGCCAGGGTTGTATTCTTTCACCATAGTTACTCAATCTGGATGCTGAGCAAATAATCCAAGAAGCTGGAGCCTATGAAGAACATGGCATCAGAATTAGACAAAGACTCATGAACAACCTGTGAGATGCAGATGACTAACCTACTTTGCTTGCTGGAAGTGAACAAGACGTGAAATTCTGAACTGATGAAGATTAAACACTATAGCCTTCAGTATAGATTGTGCCCAGTGCAAAGAAAATGAAAATCCGCACAACTGGACCAAAAAAAGTAACATCATTTTAAATGGAGAAAAGACTGAAGTTTTCAAAGACTTCTTTTTGCTCTTGGATCTACAATCAACACGCAGGGAAGCCACAGTCAAAATCAAACATACAAATCTGCTTTAGAAATCCTCTTTAAAGTGTTAAAGAGCAAGGATGTCACTTTGAGGACTAAGATGCACCTGATCCAATCCATGATATTTTTAATAGCTTCTTATGTGTGTGAAAGTTGGACAATGAATAGAAAGAATGGATTATGGTGTTGGTGAAGAATACTGGAAGTAACTGGATGGCCAGAAAAACAAACAATCTGTCTTGGAAGAACTGTAGCTAGAATACTCCTTAAAAGTGAGGATGGCGAAAGTTTGTGTGTTGTACTTTGGACATGTTGTCAGGAAGGATTAGTCCCTGGAGAAGGACATCATGCATGGTCAAGAGGAGGGTCAGCAAAAAAGAGGAAGATCCCCACCAAGATGGATTAACATGGCGGCAGCAACAATGGCCACAAACACAACAATTGTGAGGGTTGGGCAGGACTGAGCCGTGTTTCATTTTGAACATAGGATTACTATGAGTCAGAACCAACTTTACGGCAACTAACAACTTTCTAAACTCAGTTCATTCACACAGCCCTATTCTGTAGATATGATTATTAAATCCGTTTTATAGATGAGGAAATGAAGGCAGAAAGTGAGGCACAGAGCTGTTAAATCATGTGCCTATAATGAGCAATCAATAAATAGTGGGTCTGAGATTGACCAATAGTCTGAATTCTAATACCCTTACCTCTTAGAAAACATGTCATTTCATCCCTCAGAGATCCAAGGATCAAGAGATTGGGACAAATGTCTGCAAAATTAAGTAGGCCATCCTCTTGAACATAAATTCCTGAAAAAAACAAGTCTGCCAGGATGCAGAAGATTGATTCTGTTGAAATTTAGAATAGATTCTTATTTTCCTACTAGGTTACAGTTTGAGATTATTTTATCTTTTTAGCTACCATTATTGTGTATTTGTTGTTGTTAGGCACTGTTGGGTTGGTTCCAACTCATAGCAACCCTTTATAAGGTTTCTGAGGAGCATCTGGTGGGTTTGAATTGCCAACTTTGTGGTTCACAGTCCAGTGATAAGAGGCTTTAAAAAAATGTTAGTTGAACATGTAGATAGAGAAGATAAGCTGTAGGCAAGCTATTATATGAGCAAATATGGTAAAGATAATTGCAAATGAACACAGATATTCAATTACAGAAAATTAACACATAACTTGGAACCAAAAGAGCTTCCTTATTAGAAAATCCCCAAATCTTTGAATACGAAGAGGCTCTAATGGATGTTACACACTTGAAAATGAGGAAGGAAGAGCCCAGTATAAGAAAGCAGAACACTGACAGTAGCTTCAAATGTTCTTGGGCTGAACTAATGACTATCACAGTCAGAAGACACAGAGCTGAGTATCCTTCCAAACAAAGGTGAATTTCAAGTTTTATTTTTTATTATGAGTGAGTTTCCAAATGAAAGATGAAATATACTTAACAAAATTGTTTTAAAATTACTATTCTATAACCATAAGTTATATTAGAGCAATCTGAAAGGTATTGGTGGTGGTGGTTATGTACCGTGGAGTCGGTTCCAACTCATAGTGACCCTGTATAGGGTTTCTGAGGCTGTAAATCTTTATGGGAGCAGAAAACCTCATCTTTCTCCCACGGAACCGCTGGTAGTTTCGAACTGCTGCCCTTGAGGTTAGCAGCCTGACTTGTAACCACTATGCTACTCTAGCTCCTTCTGAAAGGTATTACTACCTCTTAAGTGGGGTTTTGTTTTACTGTTATGTGAAAGCACTTGAGAATAAAGTTGTTCTTGTTGTTCATCATTGTTGAGTTGGCTTGGACACGTAGCGACCTTGTATAGGATTTCTGAGGCGTAGCTAATGGGTTGAACCACCAATCTTGTGGTTAGCAGTTTAGTGCTTAAATTACAGCACTGTTATTTGAATTTCATAAAGCTGTAAAAATCATGGTGCTGCAAAAAGTATCAAAACTATATTACATATGCTAAAACTTCAAGCATATTCACCATGCACCTTCTCAACAGATCTATTAAATGTGTTGAATAAAAGCAAGAGGGTTAATACATTACTACAAACCCAAAGTCTGTTGTTTAGTTTTGTTTTGTTTTGAAATAGCATTTCCAAATCATGAGGTCTCTGTTTTATGTTTTTAGCAGTTGACACTAGGAACAATGAACGGCACAGTGGTGAAGGCTCTCAATGTGTCGGAACGGTGCCCCAGAGACACGCGGATGGTACAGCTGGTGTTCCCAGCACTCTACACTGGCATTTTCCTTACCGGCATAACGCTGAACACTCTGGCCCTGTGGGTGTTCACCCACATCCCCAGCTCTTCCACTTTCATTGTCTACCTCAAAAGCACCTTGGTAGCTGACTTGATAATGACTCTTACGCTTCCATTCAAAATCCTCTCTGACTCGCACCTTGGACCGTGGCAGCTGAGAGCTTTTGTGTGTCGCTTCTCAGCTGTTGTCTTCTATGAGACCATGTATGTGGGCATCATGCTGCTGGGCTTTATCGCCTTTGACAGATTCCTCAAGATCATCAGGCCATTCGGAAAGTTTGTCGTACAGAAACCTGCTTTTGCGAAAACAGTCTCAGTCCTCATCTGGCTCCTTTTGTTTCTAATTTCCTTGCCCAATATGATCTTAAGTAACAGGGAGGCCACACCGTCCTCAGTGAAGAAATGTGCCTCTTTGAAGAGTCCTCTGGGGCTGAAATGGCATCAAGTGGTGAATTACATATCCCAGTTTATTTTCTGGACTGTTTTTGCCCTCATGCTTCTGTTCTATGTGGTGATTGCAAAAAAAGTATACAACTCTTTTAGAAAATCCAAAAGCAAGGACAGCAGAAGCAACAAAAAGCTAGAAGGTAAAGTATTTGTTGTGGTGGCTGTGTTCTTTGTGTGTTTTGTGCCGTTTCACTTTGCTAGAGTCCCATATACTCAAAGTCAAACCAACAATAAGACTGACTGTAGACTGCAAAATCAACTGTTCATTGCTAAGGAATCAACTCTATTTTTGGCAGCAACAAACATTTGTATGGATCCTCTAATCTACATATTCCTCTGTAAAAAATTTATAGAAAGACTACCATGCATGAAAGGGAGAAAGTTTGTAACATCAAGCCAAGAAAATCACAGTAATCAGACAGACAATATAATCCTAAAATGACAGCTCTATATGAGGAGGCTTCAAAAGGACGTGGAAAAATTGCATTACCTTTTAATTCCATTTGTTCATGAAGTTTTAGAAGCCCTCTCGTACATGGTTACCTTCTGTGTACTGAGGGACTTTAAAAAGCTAAGTTATTTCAAATTAAATTTAGACAATAAAAGGAAAACAACTGGAACAAACACTTTATTATGTGTTATTTTTGTTATGTGCCATTGAATCAGTTCCAACTCATAGCGACCCTATATAGGGTTTCCAAGGAGCAGCTGGTGGGTTTGAACTGCCGAACTTGTGGTTCGCAGGGCACTGCTGATCCTACAGCGCCACACCAGGAGTCCAAGATACGTTTTGTTTTGTTTTGAATGTAAACAAGTTACTGTTGCTATTAAGTGCTGTCAAGTCAGTTTCAATGCACAGCAACCTCATATAGGTTTTCCGAGGAGCGACTGGTGGGTTGAACCACTGACCTTGCAGTTCAAACGGACTTTTGGTCCAGTGCATTGACCTCAGGGCCATACCACGACTCCATGTTATTCTCCTTGTGTTAAAAATAATTCAACATAGACATTCTTATGTGGAATGAATCATTAAGAGACTGCAATGGAAAACTAACAGCCACTAGAGGTCATCTTTGCAAAACATTTATTTATTTTTATTTTTTAAACACCTTCTCAGATTTTTGTACACACAGGTTAAACAGTCCTGCTGCTTTTGTATATCCCACAAATGTCAAGATATTTGCTCAGGGAGTCCTGGTTTAGTGCTGTGGGTTAATGCAATGCACTAGACTGCAAAGTTGGTTTGAGCCGCAAGGTTGGTGGTTCAGGCTTACCAGCTGCTCCTCGGAAACCCTATACAGGGTCGCTATGGGTCAGAATGGACTCAATAGCACTTAACAACAACAGAATCAGTGTTCCTGGATGTTGCAAATGGTTAACCTGACAGTTGCTAAGCCAAAGGTTTGAGGTCATGTCCATCCAGAGGCACCTCCAAGAAAAGGCCTTGTTTACTTCTAATGCAGCAGCTAAAAAACTCCATGGAGCACAGTTCTTTTCTGACACACTGACACACACAGGAACTATTCAAGGGCAACTTTTTTTTCCCCTTTTTTTAAAAAAACACCTTCTCGCATTTTTTTGTACACACAAGTTAACCAGCCCTGCTACTTTGGTATCCCACAAATGTCAACATATTTGCTCCAAGGTCCATGGTGAAAGCTGAGGCTTGAAGTTTAAGGGATGCTAATATGAAGAGATTGAGAATCTGGAGGAAACCAAAAAAATCTCTCCTTCCAATTACAAAGAGTCTCTTTGCCATTATCGCAGTGTTCTACATGAGGCATGAACCAAAACCCAAAACACACCTACTGTCATCAAGTTGATTGTGACTCACAGAGACCCTATAGGTCAGAGTAAAACTGTTCCATAGGGTTTCTGAGACTGTAAATCTTTACAGGAGCAGACAACAGCCTCACCTTTCTCCTGTGGAATAGCTGGTGGCTTTGAATCATCACTACCACCAATGGCTTCTGTCTATAGGAGGCATAAGCAACATTATTAAAGCATGTATAATAGTATTTTCTTGCATGTTAGACTGTGTACAATTCAAGAGCAGGAATGCTATGCTATTACTATTTGGATTCTCCCTCTGGCCAGAAAATACTCTAATGGTAGCTGAACATGCCACACACTCAGCGAAATCTCCCTGGGCCACAACCCCATTGCTCTAGCCTTTACCCCTGGTTTAAAATAATTATGTCTCCCACAGATTCATAAAACCTTCATTGCAGGCATTCTCCTTTACTAGTAAGCTGTTTTCCTGACTGCATCTTCTAAAGACACTTTAGTTCTTAAAGCAAGACAATATGGCATGTTTACTTGGTATCCTCACAGACCATGGACTCCAAAAGTATCAAATAGAATGTGTTACTGTTCTCCTAATCTGAGTACGTGGCATTGGAGCTGCTGACACATAATTAGAAATATTCATTGTGTTAGATTTTTCAAAGGATAGTGACCTATTTGTATTTGTCTGTCTTTACTGTTTTTTTCTGGATATCTTTGTGGCTCAAAAAAAGAAAAGTGATAAAATGTTACCAGGGATTGTAAAATTGTAGAAAATGCATAGCGTGGCCATGCTCTGTATATATGCCACTAGTTCCAACACTTATCATCATGAGGTGAATCTCAGATCCCCTTCCATGTCTTCAAATGTCCTGAGGGCCCTGGAATTTGTTTATATTTCTGGCCTCATCTCCTCACTGATTTTCCATACATTCAATTTTACACACTTGTGTAACTGTCAGATGTGCCAGCTTCTTTTTGCTCCTGAATCATTGTACATGCAAATTTCCCTCTCACAAACAAAACTCACATCCATCCCTAAAGCCATGTGTTGCCATGAAATCTCACCTGGCCAACCTCTCACCACCACTTCAAACCCGCTTCTGTAGGTTGTCATGATTCACTTATTGTACTCACCCTGCTGCTTTGTAATACTTGCTCACACATGTATCTACCCTTTAAATAGCCCATATATGTTGTTGAGAACAGACATTGTATCTCACTATGCAATCAATAAATGCTTGATGAATTAAATCAAACTGGTTTTATTTTTATATATTAGGAAGAACCATGTCTCTCTGGTATTTTTCTTATCAAAAGATGATATATACATTCTTAAAAAGAAAGCTCAAATTATTTTCACTTATTCTTTCATACAGTATGTGTAGGGGTGGAGGAAGGAAGTGTCCTTGGGTTTATTAGTGATTACTCATGAAGGAAATAGGGTTACTAAGCAGCCCATGTGTAGCTTGGGGGTGAATGTCTATCAACATTTGTTTTAAAGCGATTGACAAAATGCTTCAACTATGCATTGTTCATTTCAGTAAAGTAAAATTCGTAATTATAGCATACTAAAATCTCAGGAACCTTCTTTAGAAAGTACTCTTGATGTCTGATTTTCAGTCTCGCAAATAACTCAATCACAATGAACTATTATCACTAATCCACATCACCTGCATTAAGTACATTATAATGTCACAAGACTGTAATAATATAAGTGGCTGTTTCTAAGCCATTCTTTTTTTTTTTTTTTTAATGTTTTATTGTAAATTATGTGATCGTTTACATGGGAGAACATTAGCTTTACATTCATCCTATTGTATATCGTTTCATTGCCATGATTACAATCCCTGCCATGCATCATCACCCAACCAAAGGGTATACACTATAAGCCTGCCCCCCGGTCATCAGCACACAGTCCCTCTCCCTCTCTGGGTCTAAAGTCCCCAGCTGCTCCATCTCTCCATGTCATCGTCTCTGCCTCCATCTTAGGCATCACGGCTTCTCTGGGTAGGGTCCTGCTCTCTGCTCTTCTCCCTTGATGGTCCCAGGGACCTCCGCTCCTAGACTGCAGAATTAATCACACCCCTCCTTGCTATAAAACATATACCTTTACATTTCCAACCCTCACAATCAGTCCTGGTAACAATTATTCACTATTGTATCACAAGAGACCTATCCTCATTTCCTTTCATCAGTCCCGCCTAGACAGATTGGATACTACTCAGTGGAGATTCTAGCTTCCTCCATGCCCTATGGATCTAGGATCCCACTTGAAAGCTTGTAAGCCAGTCACTTCTTGCCTTTGTAGCCCCTCCTACCCCCCTTTGGGTAGCCAACGTCCAAGTGGCCGATCCCTGTCTACTCTGTGTATAGAGGCGGTGGGAGTGATTCTTGCTATTAAGACCTGTTCCCTCTTTTGAGTGACTGTATCCATAGGTGTTGTTGTTGTTGTTGTTAAGTGCCGTCGAGTCGGTTCCGACCCATAGCGACTCTGTACAGGGTTTCCGAGGATGTAAATCTTTACGGGAGTAGAAAGCCTGATCTTTCTCCATAGGTGTAGGTCAAGTTTATTAAATTGTATCAGATTACTTTTTTTCCTCTTCTTTCTTCTTCTACTTGAGCTCTAATCATCCAGTCAGTGAAGACAAGTCAAGTGGGTATTATCTGCAAGTGTGGATGTTCTTATGCATATGCCCTCTCTTCTTATCAGCCGGATGCTTCACTTTCCACTCTAGTCCTCTGTGGCTATGTCACTGACTCTGGGCCCAAGAGTCCCCAGGTCTTGCCACACTGCTGGTCAACCAGGTCTTCACCCGGGTTCACAGAAGTCTATTGAACGTTGTAGGGCTTAGCTGACCACTTAGCTGTTTTTCCCTCACTTCCCCTTATCGGTGATGTATGTGGCCTTCAATCAGAGCATGTATCCCCATTGAGTCTTAATCTTGGAAGGGGGTTTGCTCCAAGGGTGCCCTACCACTTGCCTTGATGTCTCCGGGGCAAGCAACGTGCTTGTTCTTGTAGTAATCAGTCAGTCTGCCTATATTGTTTTGTGTTTTTCCTGTTGGTCTTTCTTTCAAGAAGTATCTTCTGTTATTCTAGCCACTCCAGGCTGCTCTGCCCATCCTTTCAAGTGGAAATTTCCCACATCTGAAGATTCTGGATGCTGTTCAGGATTCCACCTATAGTTCTATGTAAAGCAGAGGCTCCGCAGGAAGCCTCCTTCACTGGGCACATTGTAGCCTCATTTTAGGTATTCCAATCAGTTATAAGCAGAAGACGGACTACAAGTTTTCTATGGTGATATTTCTGGCCATTTCTTTCTCTCCCCCTCCAGTGTCTATTTCATAATAGTATGCAAAGGAAACCAAGATTCAAAAGACAGCCAAGCATCTTAACATTATTTCCCCCCTTCTCCCCATTCCAACCATGTCTCAATCCCTGTATCCCAGACCCCTGTTATTCCAAGGTTGTGCATAAATCATTCTTTACCCCTGTCCCACTTAGCCCATGCAAACCTGCCGTATTGGTCTCACATCCGCTTTGTTCGTCTATTCCCCTCCCCCTCTTTGTGCACTGCCTCCCTCCCTAGCACCCAAACTATCCTGTGTCTATTGCCTGCCCCTGTGCTCCACCTTCCCCTCCCTCCCCTCACCCCACTC